TGTATAAAATAAAAGATTAAGAAATGATTGAGTGGAAATAAGGTAAATGCAATATTAGAATAGTAATTTCCAAAAGCAATTGAAACATTTTCATTTATTTAATATAATTGATATAATTGATAATTTTCAATAAATTTAATTAGATTTAATATTAACTTTTCGAAAAAAAACGACTAATAATTTACTATCTCGTAAATGAATGAAACGATATTGAAATAACAATAATTTTTTTATAACGAAAGGGTTTGTGTAAAGCGGTTGTTTTTGCGAAAAATGGTCATATAATACATAATTAAATAAAACGATATTGAAATCTAAATATATAACGAAAGTGTTCGTGTTTTGCGAAAAATGATAATAAAATATTTATCAGACATATTTGTGAGCGCATAAATTTCTAAAGTAATTAAGAATAATAGAATTAGTAGTTTCGAGATTAGATATAAAAAATTCACGCTGAATTGATTATTGATATAAATATATTTTCTAAAATAAAATAAATTATATATTTGCAATATCACGTATTTTTATATTGTATATTTAGGTATAAGTTAGAAAGTAATTCATCAATTTTAATTTAATGAGTTTTAATTCTTTGTGCTAGAGTAAAATATTCTGACTTTTCTTGTGTTGTGGAATTTTTCCATAAGTGAAAAGTGGCTCGACCTATAAGAATAGTGTTAAATTCACCTATTATTTTACATTCCTTTGTAACGGAATATTTAAATATCATATAGGCATGGCATCTGCTATGTCACGCATAGGCTTCTTAGAATTAAAAAAGTTCAATATTTCTTCAATTTCGGGAGATGGATATATATTATTTCTGTTTATGTTTGCAAATAACGTATCGAAGTTGTTCATTTTAGATATTTTATAAAAATGGTTGTAATGATCAGATGGAATCTTAGAGTAATTTGACCAGTACTTATATTTTTTAAAAATTAATTGATTTAGCTGAGTCATTTTCAGATTTTGTACAAATTTTATGTATTCTATTTATAAATACGATCTGCATCATAAGATGTAATTACGCACACGTCAATAATAATAAAAAAAAGGCCAGGAAAAGATTTTATTTATTATTCGCTAATTTCTTCTTATGAGTCATGGGTGAAATAATTTTCGTGTTAATTATTTATCATGTATTCTTTCAACTTTCATATGGACGAAATTTCACTTCTTTTTTAAGATCTTTATAGAAGTAAGGGGATTAGATAAAATATTTATTATTTTATATAATCCATTATATAATCTATTATATATATAATTATCAAATTATAATAATAATTTATGGTAGATTTGACTGCCATTTTTTGCATTCTTTGTAAAAATGATAGAAAAAAGGTCCATTTAAATATAATTTATTAATTTACCTTTCACTTGCCATTTTTCAAAATCATTTACAATTTTTATCTAAGAAAAATTTTATTTTTCCTATTTTAATTTCTTCTTATATCCATTTTTTTAAGGGGCATTATCACAATAAAATAAAATAACACGTACAAGTACCAGGTTTCTTAAAAATATAAAAATATTTACTTGTGAGAAACTAGCTTAAAAATATTTGTTTTTCTTTATTTACAATTATTTTTGTATTTCTGCAAACTGATACTTCTAGAACTTCGTAACATTTTTTAGTACTTTTAGTAAAAGTAAACTGACGACTCGGAATCAAGTTTACAAATATACAATTATAAATAGACATTTCTTATCAAGATCAGTTTGTTACTATTGAGCCAATTATATTTAGGAATGAAAATATTTCTGGTAATGGAAATTAAAGAAATTATTTCTATTTTTTATTTTATATCATTCATCATTCATAACATAAAATTTTTTTTTGTATTTTTTTAAGAATCATATACACGCATGTACTGTACACACACATTTGTCATTCTTTAATAATCAATTCTAAATTCCCCACCAGACCAGACAAAGAAATGTTAAACTATAATAGCAATAATAATAGCATTACCCAATAAACCCCCAATAATAATATAAAAAAAAAAAACAAAAAAATGAATAAGCAACAAATAAAAAAAATTTTATAATAAAAGTGAAAAAGGGAAGCTACTATCACATTGCAGGCCATAGTACCCTATGCGTAGTACTCTCCCTTTAAGTTTTTTAATGCCCTAGAGTATTTACATGGTGACATTTGATTTTAAAGTAAAACTATGTAAATTTATATACCTCCGGGTATAAGACATATTTAATAATAATAACACTGATGCTAGTAATGTGGTAGATTCTTCTATTACAAAACCAAAACCCAACGATTTTGTACTCCTTCATAAGACTTCAATTTCCCCCATTCATCGATTTTGTCGGATTAATCTCAAAGAAATCACCAGATGGGACAAAACCTCCCCAAAATTTGTTGAAAAGAAAGTATAAAATGAAATCCAAGAAGGCAAAAAAGAAAATTTTTTTTAAGGTACACGTATATATATGATATAAAAGTCCGTTGTAAAAATAAATATTAAATATAAATTGAAAATGAATAAAAAAATCTTTTTTTTATAGTAACAAAAATATGATATATTTATGGATAGACATGAAGATAAAAAAAATGTATTAAATGAGAAAAACGATCATATAATATATTACATACGTATTTAATTAAATATAATAACGCAGTAATATTTGGTAAATCGCTAGAATAAGTTATGTTAAATTGTTAAATGTTAAAAGAAACTTATTTGTTCTTTTTATGAGAGACAAAGAAAAATAATTAAGAATAATTCACGAAATTTAAGAATATCATCAGTAGATCGGATGAATTGAATTGATTATTGATGTAAAATGCGTTTCTTTCTAATAGTTAAAATCATACACGAAATTTAGAATGTAAATTCACCACTTACTTTCATATTGTATAAAGTAATATAAGTATGGCAGCTGTAGCGTGTTGAAGTTGTTCATTTAGATAATTTATATATATATATATAAATTTGTTTGAAGAGATATTTTTTTAACATGTATTTAATGTGTCACGACAGAAATCACCGTTGTTGCGGATTATTTATCTATTTATTACATAATATATAATGAAGCATCAGCATCATGTAATCCGAAAGATTTTAAATAAAATAAGAATTAGAAGATAAACTATAGAAATAATAGAAGATTTACAATAGAAATATAAAAACAGAGCGTTACACCCTGTGACTTGAATGAATTTAAATAAGGTATTTATCACTCAAAAAATTTATTTACTAGACTCGAGTCTATTCTTTAAACGATAGATTTTTTTATAAATAATCTGTGGTGAATGTGTCACTATTTTTTTGAGCAATAATTAAATAATAATAATAATAATAAACAAGGTCGTTAATATGTAGTTGCATCACATCAATCGGAAACTTCTTTTGAACATCGGACATTTTGCTTAAAATGCTTAAATGAAAAAAAAACAAAAACATGTTATACAAGAGTCAAAAGAAGATATAAAAAATGTTCTTTTTTAAAATCTTCTTTTTTTTTATAATAACAAAAATATACATTTATGGATAAAATAACATATAAACATGAAGAAAAAGAATAAGGCAACACATTATTAGATTAGTAATTTCCGAAACAACCGAAAGAATTTTTTGGGTCCTTTGGGTTCTCGAGGTCTTGATTAAATGCTAATTCATATATGAACGATAGACTAATTAAAAATCTTTTTCCTATATGATAATTTGAGAGTGAAAAATAATTTTGAAATTTAAAACACCATCAGAGTTATTTAGCTGAAAAAAAGAAAGTTTCCAAAATTAGATGAATTTTTTAGGTTTAAATCTAAAAATCTAAAATAAGAAATATTATATATATATTTATTCATTTACTTAATTAAGCAAAAAATAGCAATAAAGTCTTTTATAACTTGTAAATTGACGATGTTTAGGGACTATTTGCATAATTTTAAGTTTGTAGAAGTCGTAGAAGTCAGTAAATACTTGAATGCTAGTAAGTATCAATTATATATTTCATTTTTCGAGGAAATGTATATTATAGGTGAAAAATCATAACTTTGAGTTTAATATGAATTATATTAAAATATTTAAATAAAAAGAACTAATCCCCAAAGAATTATTGAAATTATTTATTTTATAAGTAGACAGTTAATTTTACTTTTCTTTACATAAAATTTTTCCGCACATTGAATTTTAAACACTGTATTGCATTATCCGAAATAAATAATAGGCCATATGAACAAATTGTGTATGCATATTTATTTCATTTCGCATCGTCTTAACATTTCTTTTCGTAACAACTTGAATCGTTTGTAATTTTTTATTAAAAATTTATAATTCATTTTAGCAACACGTGGACAAAAATTGTAGATTGCGCATTTTAAATTCTAGCGATTCAAATTATAAAGCACAAATGTCTTTAACCAATAAAAATATGCTGTGATTTTTATTTTTCATTGATTTTCCATTCCAGGTTATATATATTTTGAATCACTTATAATTTTTATTGAAAACTTTATGATTCATTCATATTTCAAATTACAAAGCATAAATATGTCTTTAACCAATAAAATATGCTTATTTTTTCCAGTTAACACTAATAAAATTTAAGATCGCTGGTTGTATTGCACTTAGAAAAAATTACAAAAAAAAAAACTTTACTATCACGGATTGCGCGTTTTAATACTAGCATAAATTTCTTTCAAAAAATATACTGTGATACTTTAATTTTATTAATATTAATGATCATCCGGAAAAATCAATGAAAAATAAAAGATCGCAGTTTTTTTGTATATTAATCATAAGGCATTACAAAAAAAAAAAAATTATAAAATATCATTTCAGCAATATGTGGACAAATATTTTGGATTGCGCGTTTTAACCAATAAAAAAAAATACGAAAATGAAAGGATTCAATTATAAATACAAGTCATTTTTTATTCTATTCCTCTAAAATTTGCATCTAGTCATTACAGTAGTAAATTATAAAAAAGTAATCCTTATAAAAATTCAACATAGATTTGTAAAATATCTAAAATGAATGACTTTGACACGCTACTTGCAAACATAAACAGAAATTATATACATCCACCTCCCGAAATTGATGAAGTATTAAACTTTTTTAATTCTAAGAAGCCTATGCGTGACCATAACAGATGCCATGCCTATATGATATTTAAATATTCCGTTACAAAGGAATGCAAGAGAATAAGAGAATTTAATGTTACCCTTATAGGCCAAGCCACTTTCCACTTATGGAAAAATTCAACAACACAAGAAAAGGAAGAATACTGTAATTTAGCACAGAGAATAAAATCTCATTAATGAAATACTTTCTTACTCAAATTTATTATCTAAATATACGATATGAAAGTACGTGATAAATTTACATATATACAGTATATCCTTTATTTGATTTTTTTAACGACTAACGTAGTCTCCTGTTTATTTATTTAAATAATAAAAATTATTTAGTAAATATTAAGTTATAAGAATAAAATCTACCCGACTCGCCGTCACCTGAAAGGAAATCGATATCTTGATTCTGAAAAATGATTTTATAACTAGAAAATAAGATTTTTTAAATAACGAATTTTTACTAATTTACTAAGTGATATATGTTTATGTCTTTTCTACTATTATCCAATAGTTTCTCACTTTTTCCTTTTCGTTTATTTTGGCATTTAGATTAGATTTAATTTTTTATCAATACCATTTAAAAAGCTTTCTTGACGATAAATTATTTATGATTCTTATTATAGAAAGGAAACACATTACATTTGCGTACATCAATCGTGAATTTTATCAATCTACTAATGATATTATTTTAGAAATTTACACGCACACAATATGCTTATGATAAATATGTATATTATTATATTTAATTTTGTATTATTGAATTATGTATTTAATGATGATCATATATTTGAAAAATAAACTTAATAAAAAATTATTTTGATTCTTTTAAAAATTTCTTCAAGAAGCATCCACACGCGTTCAAACACATTTACACATTTGTCATTCTTGTGATGGCATATGTTTACAAAAAATATATATTTTTAACTTTCTTATATTTGAAAAAATAAGCCGCATTCAAATTTTGATCAAATTTTGTTAATGGTAAAAAAAGGTACATACAGTACATAATGTTAACCATTTTATATACAAAAAGGAGATACAGTATATGTGATAATGTATATAAAAATGCCAATAATAAATTCCGAATTCCCCCCCCCACCAGACCAGATAATCTCCTTCAAGAAATGTTAAACTATAATAATAACTATAATAATATCATCACGCGATAAAACCCAATAATACCCAAAAGTACCCAATATTAATATGAAAAAAAAAACCAAAAAATAAATACAATAAACGAAATAAATAAAAAAGGGAAGCTATTTACAATGATGGTTTCCAAAAATAAAAAAAAATGATAATATTTAAAGACAATCAAGAAAATATAAAAAAAATTAATATTTTCTTTTGTAATATATAATAAAAGCCATTTGTAAAAAGAAGGAGTATAAAATATAAATGAAAATGGATAAAAAGAATCTTTTTTTCTATAATAATAAAAATATACATGTATAGACATGAAAAAAAAATTTATGTAAAAATGATAAATTCCATATAATACATTATATGCATAATATATAATAATATCAAATTGTGTAAATCGTTTGAATAAGTTATTAAAGTGTTGAGGTTAAAAAAGCTTATTTATTATTCTTGCTCTTATTATGAGGGACAAAGAAAAATAATTAAGTAAATTCACGAAATTTAAGAATATCATGATCGGATATTAAAATCCACGATAAATTGAATTGATCATTGATGTAAAAAGTGTTTCTTTCTAATAGTATAAAAATAATAAAAATCATTCACGAAATTTAGAATGTAAATTAACCACTTACTTTCGTATTGTATATTTAGATAATAAGTTTTAAGTTTTGAAGTCAATATCATATAATATAGTCATGGCAGCTGTTACGTTCACTTAGAATTAAAAAAAGTTTAATACTTCATCAATTTCGGGAGGTGAATATACAGTATATTAGTGTGACATTTTAGATATTTTATATAAAAAGATGTAATGATTGGATGTAATTTTTTTAGAGTAATTTGATCAGTACTTATATTTTTCTAAATTAATTGAAGGCTTAGTCATTTTCAGATTTTGAACTAATTTTATGCATAAAAAAAAATATTTTTGATTTTTTCGTTCGCGCTTATGCAAACAGTGTTAATATAAAAACTTTATTTACTAAATATAGAAATAAAAATTCTAACCTTATAAATTGATAAATATCAATTAAAATTTTGTTCTAATTGATAAGTTATATTTAAGTTGTAAACCTTTACAATTTGATTCAAAGATTGAATTACCCATTCTTTTTAAGTTTAAAATTCTAAAAATGTCCAATATTTATAATAAAAATCTTGGGGAAAAATTTATCAACAAATTTAAAAAATATTATTGTGACTAAGTCGATTGGCATGATGCTTACATATACTTCGGAAATTGAGATTCCATAAATAGATACGTAACATAAATTATTAGATCAAATTTTAATTTAAGATTTCTCAAGTTCCTATTATAGAGGTTCCGCACTGTATAAGTAAAGTTTCACGCATTTAATAGTGTGTAATGAATGCGATTATAATTACATTAAAAATTACTTTATTAGAACGAATCAATAATAATATTCAGGAACGGGACTTTTCGGAAAAGATTTTATTCGTTCGCTTATTCTTAATTTCTTCTTCTTTATGAGTCATGAATGAAAACCATCATGTATTCTTTCAATGGACGATATTTTATCTTATATTTTTCGGAATATTATCTTATAAATCAATTATTCATTATTATATAATCCATTATATAATAATGCGCTGAATAATATTTGGTATATTTTGCTGCATTCTTTGTGCGTTTTATTTTAAAATGATTTTTAAAAAAAAAGATAAACTGGACAATTTTAATGTAATCTATTTTTAATTTCTTCTTATATCATTCATCATATCTATTGGAGCATCATTACGTACACACACCAAGTTTTCTTAAAATATAAAAAAATATTTACTTACGCGAAACTAACTTACAATATATTGAAAATTATATATTTTTCTTTGTTTACAGATTTTTTTTTTTGTATTTACGGAGATTTATGACGTATTTCAGTATTTTGAACCAAGTAAACTGATACTTTTTAGAACTGTGTAACGTCATTTTTAGTACTTAGTAAAAGTAAACTGACTTTGAATGATTAAGTAAAGTTATTCAGCAAGTCTAAATAATTAAATATTAATTTTCAAAGAAAATTATTTTTATTATTTGTTTCATATCATATCATTCATCATTCATAACATAAAACATTTTTTATTTTTTTTAAGCACACACATTCACAATTTAGCATTCTTTGTTAGGCTCGTGATGGAAATTATTTACAAAATATTTTCTTCATTTTTTTTTTGTTTTTACAAAATATATTTTTAACTTTCTTAAATTTGAACAATAATCCTCATTCAAATTTTGATCAAATTTTTTTAACGGTAAGATCTTATATACAAGAGAGAGATATATATATGATGATGGATCAAGAAATTCTAAATTATAATAACTATAATAATATCATCACAAATAATAAAATTATGAAAAAAACCACAATAAAGTAAACAAAAAAAAAAAAATTCTTTTTATGATAAAATAAAAAAAAAACGATGATTGTCAAAAAAAATAATTGAAAGACAATCAAAGAAAATATATCAAATTGTTAAAGTGTTGAGATTAAAAGAATCTTATTTATTATTCTTGCTCTTATTATGAGAGACAAAGAAAAATTATTAAGAATAATTCATGATATCATTAGTTGTTCGGATATATATAAAATTGACGATGAATTGAATTGATTATTGATGTAAAAAGTGGTTCCTTTCTAATAGTGTAAAGATAATAAAAATCATTCACGAAATTTAGAATGTAAATTTGCCACTTACTTTCGTATTGTTTATTTAGATAAAATAAGTTTTGAGTTTTGAAGTCAATATCATATAGTCATGACAGCACTTAGAATTAAAAAAGATTAATGCATCAATTTCGTGAGGTGGACGTATAAAATTTCTGTTTATGTTTTGCAAGTAATTTGTTGAATTTATTCATTTTAAATATTTTATATATACAGTACTGTATATAAATTTGTTATATTTTTATAATCATAATTAAACTACTCGCGGATACTTTTTTATTATTTATTAATTATTATTAAATAATTAGGTTGGACCCAGGCGTTTTTTTTTTATTATTATTTTATTCTGGGTCAAAACCCTTTATTAGCTTGAATTTTTAATATTCCAAAATACAAAATAAAAAAAAATAATAATTCATTCATTAATACTATTTTGTATTTTAGAATTGGTAATTTCTATGATCTCTTGAATAATTGGAATTTCTCGTCAGATTTAAAGATTCCCTAAATGTCATTATTTATTGAATTATATTTCACCTAGATGCAATGAAATTTTAATTGTAAATAAAACTTTGATATTTCAAAAGTTTAATTATGAAATGAAGAAAAATATATTTTGTGTATTCTGTTTATATTGTTTTTTTTGAAACCATCATTTTTATTCTTGTATGAAAATTCGTATAAATTAACATAATATTTATTTAGATTCTCATTTTGGCACTTTACTTTGATGAATGATGTAATTTCTACTCGAAAGGATTCTTTATTCCCAATATTTATTTTTTTATTTTATTAGAAATTTAGATTTTATTTACGATATTGAATGGAAATGTGATAATTCCAATTTTAATATAAAAAAATATTGTTCAATTGCTTGATCAGGAATAAAATTATGCAATTTAACTTTTCAGGGCAAATCAAAATAATCATCTTTCTAAAAAAGCAATAAGAAAACTAAAGAAAAAAATAAATATTTAAAAATGTAAAATTAAGTATTTTTTGTATTATATAATAAATGTCTTTATTATTTAAATTGCACATTGATAATATAATATAATATTTAATATATAAAATAGAATAAAGTTAAAACAAAATTAGAATGATTTATGTACATTATTATTGTTTTTTCAATTCAAATACATTTTATAAAAACGTGCTAAATTTCTCTGTACTGTTTGATTTTCTTTAAAGTCTTCCTTTTCAGCTGATTTACGTACCACGGAAGTGCTTTCTCTTCATCTTTGGTAGTTCCTATTCCTTTTTTATAACAATTTCCAAGAAAATACTGTACTGTTCATACTATTCCGTCCTTCAGCTGATTTCAAGTACCGCG